GCGGACTCAGCTCCGGTCAGCTGTACTGCGCCCCAGGTTAGAACTGCCAGCTAGACCCATTGCATTTGAATCCATGTCTTACACCTTTTTTTACGGTAATCACGGGGCGTCGCTCGGGGTTCTTCATATCGAACTACCTCATACCCGCTACTCGTATAACGAGCAATGCCTTTTGTGGATTACCAGCAACGTTTTGAGCATGTTAAGTGACCTTCTTTCTTTGGCCAGCTTTTCAAAGTCACAAGTAGCCTTGAAAGTGTGTACCTGCATGCAACACCGAAGAGTGGTTGTTATTTGCTCCTGTCAATCAAAGGACTGGTCAAGTAGGGATTCTCTATAATCTCCCTTTGCCTCCTCTACTCCGGCTCTCTACTTCTCAGGGATGGAGCGTTTTGCCCGCCTTCATCACGGATTGCAATGAATCAGTGACAGGCGGGTGCTGCCGACTTCAGGCCATCTATCGTTTGGAAACCCAGAGCTTCTCGAACTTGATCAGGTGCCGGTAAGCAGAGAGTGGTATGAGTGGTGGGAGGGGACGCTGAGTTGTATGAAGATGGCAGTCGCTGGCATTAGTCTCGAAACCCCTTCTCGATTCTCGATCAAGTGAGCTCCAAGGCGAGGTGGATAAACCATTGGGCCTACGATTGGAATTTGTTTGAACCGAGAATGGCCCTCCACAGTCCTGTTTCAATAGTGCAAGCAGAAGCACAAGTTGATCACAGTGGTGAAGATTACGGAGCAGAGGAAAGATTACAGATGCAGAGTCAAAAGCTAGATCAAATGCCATGGCTACATACGCAATGCTATGCTAAAGAATCGTCCTCTGGTAGGCGAAAGCAAGACTCTCCAAAGCAAAGCGTACCGTTCGTCATATCTATTAGTTCTGTCCCCTAATTCTCAATACAACGGGGATGGTATTTTACTTGAACGCCTCGCATAGAACCCAAAATCAGAATTGTGATGATCACTATGATAATCTTCGCACCGACACGAGCCGGTATTGTATGCAGACTGGATGGGCCCTACTGTTCATCCATGGCATCACGACTCCCGTAATCAGCCTCATTCGTGCCCAGACCCGCCAGCCGCGGAGTGTATCAACGCCTCGGGTGGAGTCGGGAAGAAAAAGGCGGCTACCGCGATCGCAATGTAAGTGATAATACACAGGAAGCCTTCGAGGTAATCGCTCTTCTGATCCCTCAAGTAATTCCCAACAGTGATAATGGCGAGTAGGAGCATGGCGATATCAAAAATCTCAAAGCTCAAATCCATGGGCTTCTGGAGTCCCCAAGCAACGATGATGACGAGGGGTGTATTCAACATGGCAGTCTGAATGGTACCGCCAATGCAGTGCGACAGGGCTAGGTTCATCTGATTATCCCAGGCTTCATCAACGGCAGTCAAGTGCTCAGCTGCCTTTTCGACGAGCGGAACTAGGATCAGACCCATAAACGGATCCGAGATTCCGTGGTTCTGTACAATGGGCTCGATTTGGGTGACGAGAGCTATAGCGAGAAGGGCGACCAAGGCAACGGAGATCGCCAAGGCAATAACACATTCGGTCAAAGTTAGCTTATCTTTGGCCAGATCCTTGTGACCATCCTCATCGCGGTGCTCATCCTCCTTGAAAATGGCATCGTACAGACCGTGATGAGTGTGCATCTGGAACCAAACGTAGACGCAGTACGATAGAAGAAGCAGGATGGCGATAGCACGAGAGACATTGACTGTCTTGTCGTCGATTTGCTGTGACGTCAGTTCAAATTCGGTATTTTGAATAGAATACTGGAATATCGTGGGAATAGCTAAGCCAAGTCCGCTGCAGAAACTGGTCAGTACTGTTACAAGGTGAAAGAGGGGTGTTTATCATACGCCATGAGCAGCAGACCCGTTCCGATTTCGCTAATAGCCGAGTCGAAAGTAGCGGATTCACGTTTGATACCGGACGCGAAGAAACAGGCGCCCAAGCATAGAAGCATGGTAGCCAGAATGGAACCAAGAATAGCGGCGCGAATGACATAGAATTGCGATCTCTTTAGAAGAACCATGAACAGGATTATTTCGACAATAGAACCGACCCTGTACAACTTGAGTGTCAATGGATGCGCGGTCATAAGAGGAAGGCATATGGGGTTACGAACGTGGTCTCAGTGAGCACACCGGCCATATGGGGCATCTTTCGAGCGAGCTCCTGGCCAGCAAAGCCGATGAGGTTGGCGCACGGGACCATGGCGATGTACGCGAGACTGAACTTGATTACCGCATGGCCTTCTTCGGGTAAAGCCCAGTAGCAAGCGAGGGCGGCGGGTACGAAAGGCCAAAGAAAGTTGACAATCAACGATAGATGGCTCGAGGATCGCCAGATGATTCGGAAGAAGTGCAGAGGATGAAGACCGCGACGACCACTCTCTCCGGCTGACTTCACTCGAACGGGACCTTTGGGTCGCCTCTTCTCATTGTGACCGTTCATGATCTCCTGGCGCGTGGAGGGTAGGGCGGGCTCGCGGGAGTTGTTGTGGGATCGCCGTGGCTTCTCACGGTCTCTCAAGCCATGGCCTGCCATACTTAAGTCAAAGCTATCGCTGTCCTTCGCAGGAGAAGCTGTGTTTAGATGGCCTTTGATCTTGTTATCTGTCGGGTGATGGACTAGGCCAGTTGCATCGAAGGTGTTTTCCCGAAAAATACGGTCGCCAGGGTGGTACCGGTAGTTGGGAAAGTAAAGAACGGAGCGGGAAGGGAACCGTGGAGTTTGGTGGTGATGCAATGAGCCTACGAGACAAGTTTTATTTTTACGCGAGGCCCAGTGTGGCAGTCTGGACGTCCGGGGGTATCGTGAGAGAATGAATGAGATTGGAAACAAGCCTGACAAGCATTAAGCAGCCGACACGGCACGCCTGGGCAAAGGGGTAAGAGCCTGGGCAGAGCTGGGCAGCGAGCAATCATTCATTCATCCATCAGCGACTTGGCAGCAAACAGGCAACGCGAGCGACACAGGGGAAGGTCTAGAACCTCTCACCTGCCCAGAGCCGGTCGTAGCTGAAGGGAATCAATCGCAACCTGTTGACGCCCGCGCAGAGCCACGCCTGCAACAGCCCGTCCCCTAATTGGTGTCTGGGGGCGCGTTTTAGCTGATACGTCACCCTGCATAATACTTGTCAGTTCATCCCCAGTTCCTGATTAGGTGACCATACCTACCGAGTAAGGTACCTACAGTACCCCTCCCAGCTGGCCGTGCTTCGTCGTGAGGCCTCACTTACCTAATATACAATTGTGTACATATGTACTTTGATATCTTGAATAATTCCTCTAATGCACCAAAGCTCTGCATTCTTCACCTTCTATTTCTCAAGTACAGCTATCATGCAAAGTAAGACCTGGGTTCCTAGAATGGCTGGCTGCTCTCCAACGCCGTCCTAGCGTCGGGATCACATCCTGCCTTCTTTCTAACCTGCCAAGCAATGCAATATCCGCCAACGTGGCCCAATCAGTTGATAGTCGCAGCCAAGTGGGCTTTTTCCTCAGGATCGACCATTCTTGGACAATCTTCCAAGAACCAGCATATTTCTCTGCAAGCCAAGACGCCTATGTACCGCCTTACCGTATGTATCCAACTTGCTAGCCCAGCTGTGCTACTAGCGTCTGCGGCAGTTTGAGAACGCAAGGCTTGAAGGTTAGATTTGCCCACAGGTACGTTAGGTACATTCAGATTCAAATGATCTTTGTAAGCGGAGACCGATGGAAACTATGAAGGCCATGTGTGATTACAGTAGGTATACGTTGTTTGGGAACACAAGCCAACGATGACAGGCACCCATGAAAGATACTAGCAGAAAGGCAAATAGCCCTCTCGACACTCTGTGCGACCCAATTCACTAATAAGAGCCAGAATTTTGCGACCATAACTTGCCGCGCGCTTAGATATGAGCGGAACCTCAAAACTAAGGTTCGTACACATACATACTACGGGATGCACATACTTTGGCAATGTCGGCAGAACGCCACTATCCTACGTGAGAATGCCAGATGGTGAGAGTCCGTACGCATGTCATCAACATCAACACTAGGAGATTCAAGATAAATCATTTGTAGAGGACAGCTTTACATTGAAGACGCGATCCACTGGGGTTTCAGGGCCTATGACAACCGGAAAATGGAAAGGAGGGCCCCAAGGCCGAGGAGAGGTAGTTGTTCGTGCTTTAGTTGCGTATTTCCATGGCTCAAAGTCACTGTTGGGAGGAGATATACCCACATCACATACGTCGGGTTTCGAGGAACTCCCAAATTACTGGTATTTGATGTGAGATTTCATTCGAGGTACAGAACAAATGGGAAATGGCCTATTACAGAACCTTGAGAAAGGTGAGTTGTACCAACGAGTACTATTACTGCCTGATGAACATACTATCCGATTGAGTCTTGAGTCGTTGGCAGTTCCATGCGTCGTTGACTTCTGGGGACTGTGGGCACTTCTCGTCCTTTCTCGGGAAGGTGCTGACAAGGGCATCTGTGAGACCCAGTCAGAAGGTAGTAAGGTTGAGCTAGGGAAGAGAGAGGCAGCGGTCATTGTAACACGATAGAGAGGAAAACGTTATTGTTGTATTATGAATGCGACCGACCCCTTTCTGAGCCTCCACCGAGGCTTCAAAGGATAGCATAGTCTAATAGAATGGGATATTATGACTCTATAATGTACTGGGGAACAAGCATGGAGATGTCAAGAGCTGCATCAGCTTATAACAGTGTCGTATATGGCAGCGACACAGGCTCTGTATGCTCTAGAATCTAATGCCGAAATGAACTTTAGGAGGTATCTAAACTAAGTAGGGAGTCAGATCTTGTAGTCACAACTATAACTGAGCTGTCCCAGCCTGTGCTGCACGATTGTTATGTGACGGTTTCCTATTGGTTGATAAGTCCCCACGTTGTGGTTCAATTGATATATTATGATAAGCCGGCAGAACTTCAACCTCACCGCCTAAGATCATAAGCTTGGAAACACAGCGGGGATAGCTCAGTTGGGAGAGCGCCAGACTGAAGTCAACTTCAGGACCTGATATCTGGAGGTCGTGTGTTCGATCCACACTCACCGCAATCTTTTGCATCTGTTTTGTCCGGATATCTTTCTAGGCTTTTGCCCCAAAAACTCCTGCTATGGCTGCAGTTGAAGTAACTCCTTTTGCTTATCCTGAGCTGCAGCTTTGCATGTTATAAAAGGTTGCATGGGCCAATTGACAGTATGATAATGTCCTGTGAGAATTGATGATGGAATCAAACGAAATACAACAAATTTGGAACCATGTATAGCAGACAGTTCATGAGGTCAAGTCAAACCAGGATGCAGCTTTTGTTCTCGTTCAATATGTACGTGTTCTTGTTGCTATGGGAGCTGATTGAACAAAGAAGTCAGTATGGCTTCGATCAAATGAACCGAAGCCACACTTTAACTCGGGACCACACATACAAGACACTAGCCACACCATCCTGGTAAGCCTCGAAAGCAGCTGTGAATCAAAGAGCAGTAACTGTTGATGTTGACCTCTGAACCATTTGACGTCTAGGATATCTGAGGGGATTCAGTAGCAGTAACTGACGCTCTCGCCGCTGTATGGACTCCTCTATAGCAGCTTCCGTAACTACCTTAGGCATGCTATCGGGTGTCGACTTCAAGGCGCGATCTGACCGATACTGCGTCAGTTTCACCTTTGTCAGCTTAACATTGCTAGAGATAGGAGCTGATGCTCGTCTTTCTAGCCAAGTGCCTTTGTCAGCATTGGCTATCTCGGCACTCGGCTACTACATCCATTCTCTGTGGTTGAGGTGCTGTTGGCCAGCAGACCCTGGGGATCACGCGATGGGACCTGGGGATGTAAAGTTACAATACCGGCTCCTTCAGGCATGGCTGACGAGCTTTATCTAGACGCACGCATACTGGAGTAGTGCTGATTGGAAGACAGTGGCCCGCCAGCGACTATAGAGTACGTAGGCAGAGGTGGCAATGGCCGCCCGGGGCGATATAATTTCTCCGTTTCGGGGAGGCGACCAATCGAGGAAACAAGGCAGCACGGAAGTAGCCGTCCTCATCGCACGATATCCAACAGCCGTCCTGGAACATGCTGTGGCTGCTGCTGCGGGCGGAAAAGTCAAAGGCATCGATATGGATACCGAAGTGGACAAGATCACTTGGCGATAGTGTAGAGGAAAGCTTGTTCTGACATCCGCCATGCTATACGCAGCCACCGACTGTCTGGGCATGTCTTGGTGTTCCTTAGTATATCTTGGCCGCAACTTTCCCCAGATGCCCAGAGATGCCCAGAGCTGTCAGTCAACGGTCGGTCCCGGCTTTCCAGCTCCAGCATCACCTTGAAAGGCAGCGAAATCCTGTTGTTCCTGGGAGTGATTGACTGGGTGGTATCTTATTTCCGACCAGGCGCTTCCAGCCCCGACGCTTGCATGCCGGCAATGCTACCTTCCCTTTTGGCTTGGCATCAAGATATTGCTTGGCTAACCAGCGCACGCCATTCGAGTTGTCGTCAGATGAGAGCCGACTATCGGGCTCGCAGTCTTGATACCAGTCATGATACTGGGCGCCTGGAGCCTTGAACTTCTCATCGCGCGAGCCTGACCTCCTTCTAGAAGAAGCCAAGACCATACCACCTCTGGATCCCGTCTCCACGAGCTCTCGACAGCTAGACGGACCGACTTTGTGTTTTTGGAAGGTGAAAGTACCTGGACGGCTTCGTGCTCGCCCACCACTATCACATTGTCGGATGCCGTGGTCTTATGTCCCGGAGAACAGGCGTGAACGCCGTCGTCGATTCCCGAGACCCTGCCTCTGCTCTCGTGAAGGTGGCCGAGACTATACAGGGAGCTTATCACGGGTTTGGCTTCTCGAGAATGGAATCGTGTATAAAAGGCACAGCTTCGCTCGCCGAATGCTGATTCCTGTTTGCCTCTCCAACCCGCTCACTCGCTCAAGCCGGATCAACAGCCTTCGATCGCTCATTCACTTGCTCTTGCCGAACCAGCCCGCTCAACACACCATTCAGCCATCATGAAGACCGCAGCCATTGCCGCCGGCGCTCTGTTCGCCGCCAACGCCCTTGCCGCTCCCGGCACTGCTGCCCGCTTTGCCAACCACGCCCGTCGGGCTGAGGGACGCAAGTCCAGCCTCATGATCCCCGCTGAGGACGATGGCATCGTCGCGCAGGTCAATGGCACCGACAAGCAGGTGTCGTACTCGACCAACTGGGCTGGTGCCGTGCTGATCGGCACGGGCTACACCGCCGTCACCGGCACTATCGTTGTGCCTACCCCCGAGGACAACGGCTCGAAGGGCTCTGCGTCCGCCTGGGTCGGCATCGACGGCGACACCTGCGGCACTGCTATCCTCCAGACAGGCAAGTTCTCATCTCACATAGCTAAAGAGTTTTATTCAGGCTCAAGACTAGCCGCTCACATGAAATATGAGATTAGGTGTCGACTTCAGTATCTCCAAAGCTGGTGCCGTCAGCTTCGACGCCTGGTATGAGTGGTACCCCGACTACGCCTATGACTTCTCGGGCTTCTCCGTCTCTGCCGGTGACGAGATCACCATGACCGTCGTACGTACCAGACCTCCTTCTCACATGGCCCGTCATCAAGCTAACCAGACATATCAGACTGCGACGTCCACCAAGGCCGGTACCGCCAAGCTCGAGAACTTGACGACCGGCAAGTCGGTCACCCACTCCTTCAGTGGCGAGTCGGACACCCTGTGCGAATACAACGCCGAGTGGATCGTCGAGGACTACGAGAGTGGCGGCAGCCTCGTCGCGTTCGCCGACTTTGACTCAGTCACTTTCACTGATGCCGCGGCCACCAAGAGCGGCAGCTCCGTTGGCGTCAGCGGTGCCTCCATCCTCGACATCAAGCAGAGCGGCACTGTTCTGACTGACTGCTCCACCTCTGGCACCAGCAAGGTTGTCTGCGACTACGTCGGTTAAGCTGCTTCTCCTTCGAGAAAATGGGTGACAAATGTAGATATGAGGGCTGCAGGGTTTCGTGAGAGTCTGTCGCTAATTATGAAGATGGTTGGATTCACTCTTTTACATGTGGATGAAGTATGTTCATAGGCCTTGGTGTGTTTCTGTACATATTTTCCGCTAGGAGGACGTCTATAGAAATACATCTGCGTCCCCCATCCACCCCTCGTCGTCACGAAATGGCACCATTATTAGCGCGACCATACTCGTCAAAAGTAAAGGTACCTGTGTCGAAAACGTGCCTGCCTAATGGGACCGCGTGTCTATGTACTCAGTCTGCTATAATGATAGGTATACCACCTACATAAATCATTTGGAAGGATACCATAAGGAATTTGCTATTAATGCCACTTTTCCAGCTAGCACAGCACTCATAGAAATATCTGTGAGGGCCTGTAACAGGATGTCTCGGATTCGCTCTGGATTTGCGATGACCGGTCCCGGTCTACATAACGGATTGAATTGCTTCTCATCGAGTCTTACTCTACGGACTCAAAGTGCTCCTTCGGCGCTTTCTACATAGCAAGCGGTTGGGATGTATTTTACCTGAAGCCGAAATGTGCCAGCAGATCAACACCATATATTTCGCTTGGAACACCTTCCTGAAGAACTTCGGTAAATCTTTTTAAGATCATCATAAGTTGCGTCACAAGTTGCGTCACAAGGACGACTGGTACGGGGAGAACCTTGGACATATCCGCGGTGGAGGTTCAATTGATTTAGCCTGTTGAAATCCATCAGATGGATCTATGAATCGGTATGTATCTAAGCAAGTCCGAGGGGGGGGGGGGGGCTGGGGAGGATACTGACAAGATCGTATGTGTTCCTTCATGAGTGTCTATTAGATAACACATTGTTGTCAGCGGCCATTAAGACATGATCAGGGGCTAAAACACTTTCTTGTGATACTGTGTAGGAACTTCTACATACAGACTCGAGCGTTTTAGAAATCATTGGATGTGTATGTACATGCGAATTTTCTAGCTCCAAACCCTCAGAACATGGAGCATCACGACAATCACCTTACCTCCTCCTCTTTCCACCACCACCACCATCACCATCGTCACCCTTCCTCTTTCGGCCCTCTTTACGCCAGTACTCCTGCTTCTCTCTGCGTTCCCTGGCTTCTTTCTTCTCACCCATAAGCTCCATCTTCTTCCGGAACTCGACTCGTTTTTCCTCCTTCTTAGCCTTTCTCTTCGCCACTGTATCCTTACGAATAGTGCTGAGCTTCTGCATGAGATCACGTGCCTTCTTCTCCTCGCCACCCAGAACGACAGCTCGTTTTTGCAAATACGTCTTGTGCTTTTGTGGCTTTGTTTGAACGATCTGCGACTTATATGGCAGCTCAGCAGCGAGTGCTCTAGGTACTTTCAAGGAATTGAAGTGCCGCGTCGCTCGCTCGATGGGTCTGTACTTGCTGTTGCGGTCTGATGGAGTGGCGATGCCTTGCTCGTAACGCACCTGACCAGTCAGACGCATGGCTTTCCAATCTCCCAGCAAATTGGTGACGGGATTGTAGAATCGATGAGGCTTGATGGGATACCAGGCTCTCAGAAAGACCAAGTCCGACATTCTATATCATTTACAATCAGTGGATACTTTGCATAGCGTGGCTTCACGCAACACCTACAGGATCTTGTCTTCAAATGTTGCTCTGAAGTGGCCCTCGGGCTTAGAGAGGGCTCGTTTGATCTGACCTCTGATGCCGCTCACCGTCTTGATTGCGGCACCCTCCATCTTGGTACATTCCAAGGAGCTGTTGAACATGTCCTTGATGAAGGCGGTATTCTTGAATATCTTGTATGGTGTACCACACAGTTTCAGCTTCTTCACAATCTCGACTGATTCATCGACAGACAGGACAGTGCCCAGCGCACTGACGCGGAAGCCAGGAGTGGCCGATGAGAAAGTTTGAAAGCAGGTGAACCCCGTGTTAGGCGCGATCAAAGGGCCGTAGAATGTGCCGAAACAGAATGAATGTTCAGGACTGTACTTGAGCATACGATTTCGAACACGTGAGTCGCTCGTAGAGTAGACTGGGAGTGTTTGAAACCTTCGCCAACCTAG